TCTACTCTACTCTACTCTACTCTACTCTACTCTACTCTACTCTACTCTCTATTCTCTATTCTCTATTCTCTATTCTCCTCTCCTCTCTATTCACTATTCTACCTTACTCTACTCTGTTCATTTCATTTCATTTCATTTCATTTCATTTCAGCATGTCATAAGTTCAAAAGCGCCACTGAACAAATGGTTCAGGACCAGTTCACATATGTTGAGGACTATATTCTCTTTCTTTCTTTGTTTTAACTAATAAAAGGCAGAGCGGAAAGGTTCAAGTTTTCAAGAAGAACAATTACGAGTTCTGCTGATGGACCTTTTGACTGCTGGATCAGAGACAACAGCTGGAACAATTCAGTGGGCATTGCTCTATTTGGTAGCTTTTCCAGAGATCCAAGGTATGGAAATAGCAAATGATGAAGATCCCCAAAAGCTTCTATTAATCATACAAAATGAGGATGTGACTTGAAGTGGTGATTCCAGACCTTTCTGAAAGCTTAATTTGGATTTAGACAAATAATTCATTCTATACCATTGAGATGCATTGCTCTCCCACAACTCAAGGAGAGCACCAAGTTGAGAAGGATGCAAAACATGGGGAATCAGTGTGATGTTTTCAAAAATGTATGTAGGAGATGACCAGGCTGAGCCTAAGGTTGGGGTCAAGTGCATCTTCAGTCTGGAGTCCACAAGAGATCTAAGTCCAGCCCTCTTTGAATTCTGTTGACTCTGATCTCTCTCCAATTTGCTTTGACCATTAGTAGTTCAGATTCTTGTAGAGTTTTGAATATTGTTTTGAACTGCCAGGACTCCTGATTTCCTGCACTTTACAATATCATTGTCAACCTTACTAGATAGACCATGGAATGAATTCTTCAGGAAGCTAAAACTGCTTTCATGGAGATTGGCTACAATAACAGAATCTAATTGTGCTGGGTCTCCTCCCTTTCTGTCCAGTTAGCTAAAAAGAGACTTCTGCATATTTATTATACATGTCTGAAGCTCCTTTTCTCTAATGGAATGCCAATTGAAACCTCAACACCATAAGAAACATTTCCCATAGGCAGATCACATTAGCTTTGCATCTCGTGTTAGTCCCACTATGTAGGCCAAACCGTGAAATGAATTTCTCAGGAAGGCTAAATTTCCTGTTCTTGGGATTGGCCACAAAACCAAGGAGAGAAGCAACCTGGAATTAAGGAGAAACTTCCCAACAGTGAGAACGATTTACCAGTGGAACACTTTGCCTCCAGAAATTATGGAACTCCATTTTTGCTGGTAGTGGCACCACAGGCTGGTCCTTCGCTGTTTCCAGAGCAGCCCCACGGGCCACATCTAAGCCCCCCATGGGCTAGTTTGACTTTAAAATGTTTCAGTCCTTCTTCCCAGTCTACACAATTCTGTTGAGGTCTCCTTCCTTACCCTCCCCAGTAACTAATTTATTTGCACTGCAGAGAAATGCCAGAAGGAAATAGACTTTTTTCTGGGAAGTAATTCCAACCTGCAATATGAAGATCGGGAAAAGCTGTCCTACACAAATGCCGTCATTCATGAAATCCAACGCCGTACAACTGTTGCTCCTCTCGGAGTAGCTCACACACCCATCCAAAATGCACAGCTTTGCGGCTATCAAATTCCCAAGGTAAAACTGGGAACCTTCACAGGTGGACCATGGGTCTGGAGGCTGTACAATGAAGACGAAGGGAACTGCCTTGGGAAGGGGGTTGGACTAGAAGACCACCAAGTTCCCTTTCAGCCGTATGATCCTTTTCACCACCAGTGGTCCATTCTTGAACCAGATCGCAAAAGGGCTCAGGCAGATTGATTCAAGATCCCTTCCATCACGGAGCACTTTCTTCCGTGTGATCTACAAAAACAAGGATTAGGGGAGACATCGTAGCAGTTTTCCAGTCCTTGAAGGGCAATCACAGAGAAGAGGGGACAAGGATTAGGGGGAGACATGACATGATATCAGTCTTCCAATAATTAAAGGGCTGTCAGAGAAAAGAAGGGGTAGATTTATTCTCCGAAGCACCTGGAGGCAGGGCAAGAAGCAATGGATGGAAACTCATCATAGGGAGATCCAACCAGGAATTCAGCCTCTCCATTGCTGGAGGTTTTCCAGAAAAAGTTGGAGAGCCATTTGTCTGAGATACTAGAAGGACTCCTGCCTTGGGAAGAGGGTTGGACTAGAAGACCACCAAGTTCCCTTTCCGCCTTATGATTCTTTTCACCATCAGTGGTCCATTCTTGAACCAGATCTCAAAGAGGGCTCAGGCAAATTGATTCAAGGTCCCTTCCATCACGGAGCACTTTCTTCCGTGTGATCTACTTTTCCTGACATTTTCAGGGCGCCACCATTTTCATCAACCTCCATTCTGTTCATCATGATGAATCCCAGTGGAAGTTCCCCCACGAGTTCAACCCCTCCAACTTCCTGAATGCAAAGGGAGAGTTTGTGAAGCCGGAAGCCTTTTTGACATTTTCAGCAGGTAAATTATCTCTCTGTCTGTTTTACTCTGAATGGCCAGGGCTGCACAAGGCACAGAACTAGAATGTAGACAACCCCGTGAACTCAATCCCTGTGCTTAAACCTTCTGCTTCACTACGTCCTTGGATGGAGAAAACTAGGATGCATGTTAATATCATGTGAATGCGGCCAATGGAGAGCAACTGAAAAGCAAGTTCACTTTGGGGATATCATCACCCATATTTGTGAAAGCATTTTGTGCATGAGGGCATCCTTCAGCAGGCTAAACCAGAAAATATGCCAATTCACCAACCAGGAAATGCATGTTTTCCTTTGCTATTCTCTCCCTCTCCCATTCCCTCTCCCTCCCCCTTTCCTTCTCCTTCTCCTGCTTCTCCCTCTCCCTCTCCTGTTCCCTCTTCCTTTCCCTCTCCCATTCCTTCTCCTCTCCCACTCCTTCTCCCACATCACACTCACACACACAGTGATACAAAACCCTTAATCCTAAGGACACTAGTGAGTTTCACACTCACTTTTACCAAACTAAAAGCCTGTATTTCAGTAGCGCGGTATTATGATCAAAGTGTGTGCTGCTCTAGATGAATATGCCAATTCATGTGCCAGAAAAGGCATGTTTTGCTTTGCTATTCTCCACCTCTCTCACACCCAACACACACACACACACAGACATCCATTAATCCTAAGGAAACTAGCCAATTTCACTTAACATTAGAAAACTACAATTCTGTGTTTCAGGGGTGTGAAGTGTGCTGAAGTGTGCACTGTTCTAGATGAACAGCTGTGATCGTTCATCTTGTCTTTGACTTTTCAGGACCAAGGGTTTGTTTAGGAGAAAATCTGGCTCGGATGGAGCTCTTCCTCTTCCTCACCAGCATCCTGAGAAATTTCCAGCTATCTTGGCCAGATAAATCCCGGGCACCAGATCTCACACCTAACTTGGGTCCCACACTATTCCCGTCAAGCTTTAAAATATCAGTGAAAGGCTGCCAGGAGAGCAACTAGATCGAAGGAAGATTTTCCATCTTTCAAAGCAAAGTCATCCTCTCCAAAGACACTTGAAAGATCCAGATGAAATTCATAGGCTATGTGGCTTAAAGCTTTATACTGGATGATCTGAAAAATTTATGTCCCATATTATAAACTTGATTTAGAAAAATAATGCTGATCTTTGTTGTAATGGCATGTGGACCTGACCTTGGGAGGAAGAGCTGCAGACTAGGTAGTCCTTGATTTACAACCACAACTGAGCCCAAAATGTCTGTTGCTAAATGGGGAATTTATCACTTGTTGTTTGTACCTTATGATTAATGATTGTAACTATGATTTATGATCTATGTGTTCTGACCAGTGGTGGGATTCAATTTTTTTACTACTGGTTCTGTGGGTGTGGCTTATTTGGTGGGTGTGGCTTGGTGGTCATGTGACTGGGTGGGTGTGACCAACTCAGTGTCATTCATGTCAAGGGGTGCCTCGCCTGGCCCCTCCCCTCTCAGCCATTCCTTATAACACTCAGCCTCAACATATCTATAGTTCTGTAAAAATGTTATTCACCCTTTTTTGACTTTATTATCTACATACTATGGATCACTGAAAGGAGGAAATGGCTCACATGCTATGCCCAAGAGTGTGATAGGCAACAGGTTTTAAGAACTGCCACAAAGAAGTGGGGGCAATATATTTTCCAAAGAAGCAGAACGCAAACAAGAAGCAATGGATGAACAAAGAGAGAAGCAACCTAAAACTAAGGACAATTAACCAGTGGACCTGCTTGTCTCCAGAAGTTCTGGGTGCTCAATCACTGGAAGTTTTTCAGAAAAGACTGGACAGCCATTTCTCTGAAATGGTATAGGGTTCCCCCAAGGTCCCTTCTAAGTGTTATTCTGTTATTCTGACACTTTCCCAGGATCTCTACTCAAATATATTTGATAATTTCACATATAAAATAGCCATTCGTGTAATACAACCTGCATATTGTTCAAAACAGTAATTATTATGGCTGATGTTTGACAACAAGCCTAAGTCAAAGATCATAAGAGTGCTTCTTTCTCTGTATGTATACAAAATATCACATACAAGGAATAGCATATTAAGCTGGACTTATGCAACCTGGTGTACAAAATAAACACACACATATTTATGCTCTGGACCAGACATTGATGTAAATACCTGTAAAATATGTGCTAGCCCTGGGCAAAAGAAAAGCAGTAAAATCACTCTAGATGTAGTGTAGGGACAGTGTAAAATATTAACACATGATAAATAATGAAAGAGCAGCGTAATCCCGAACGGGAGAACAGATTAGCCACGTCAAAAGAAAAACGTCATCAATGTCAGCCGAGTAGTTTAGAGGCTGAATAGTTCAGAAGAGAGTTTAATCGGAAGGAGTTGCAACAGTACGTGAGGGGGAATCCCTGCTGTAAGGGATAATCGGCAAGCAGTTAAACTGCTTAAGGGAGGGGATAGAACGGGAGGAGTATGGTTGTGGGGAAACTAAGGATATAGCTGGGAATCGTGGAGTGTTGTCAAACACTCTGAAGCTGTACGTAAGTCTAAATGCTATTGCTATCAGGGCTAGAGCTTCGTAGTTTTGGGATATTTTTTTATTTTGCTCTAGCATGAGAGTTGTTATTGAGCTTGGAGGTTAAACTTGTTTTTCCTTGTTTCACAACATTACCATTATGTCTCACTTTGGCTTGTATTCTTTCTTACGCTGGGCATGAAATAAACTAGGGCATGACAAATGGTCATAATTTGAGGACAATCTGTTGCCAGGTGCTTGGATCTTAATTCCGTGACCCAATGGATGCTGCAATAGTCGAGTAAGGACCGATTTTGTGTCTTTTTTTTTCAGGGTCAACAAAACTTTGAATGGTCACTGATCAGTTGCTCATAAATCAAAGGCTATCTGTATGGCCCTCCTGTTGAGGAAGAAATATATTATTGATTTTAAGGGCATGTAACCCAGAGTTTCCTGTGTGAGATTGTGGCTAAGAAAAACCACCAGGATTCAAAGTTGATCCAAGGAAAAAGGTTTTATTGTAACATTTCTGCAGAAACGGGTTCCTGCCCTGGCAGATGGGAGGAACGAAAGGCAAAGCTTAAAGGCTCTACTTTTATACCCAAAACTACCCCCTACTACTCCCCCCCCCAGTATACAAATGGCTTGATTTACAATCTATCTTTCAGGATACAAGTTACATTTTATTATCTTTCATGGTGCCTATCTCGTAACAGACACTTCTTTATCCGGTATCTAGCATTTCAAAAGCATTCCAAAATGTGTGATAGTTCCCAGCACTTCAAAAACATTCCAAGATCAGTTCTAATCAGTGCTTGATACCGCATTTCCTTACTTCAAAAGGAAAACCTCCCTTTTTCATCTTGAGTTTTGAGTCATAAAATGAATACACTTCCCACAATCCCCCCTGTTCTTGTTCCATCTTTGACTCAAACTCACATTAATTTGTTCAAGATACATGGACCAAAGGTGAAGATTAATAATAACAAAATTAAGGATCCTATTAGAGTGGAGATTAGGGTGGTCATCCCTTTCTCTTTTTCTTTGGTTCAGTCCTTCCCTCAGTTTTTTCATGGAGTCCTGTACTATCCCAGAATGATCTGTATCAGATCACCTTTGAACAGAGGGTCCCACCAGATGTGTCCCGTAGACACACAACTCCAGGCTGCACAATAAAACTGATCAGCCCCTCCACAAGTCTTTTTGTAGCTTCTTTCAGTTTTATGTCCAGGGCAGACGTAAAAATGATGTTTCTTTATGAACGTGTCATCGGTGGTGGACAAGAGGACCCTTCCCAAATCAAATTGCAGTTCTGGAAACCAAGTATTGGGAGGCCTCTTTCCGCTAGTCCAATTGACTATATCTGAATGGGAATCAAGTACAACCCAAGTAACATTCTGGGGTTGATGTGAATCCTCGCTTCCCCAGGAAGTTCCCAGTCCTAGTCCTAGAATAAAGACAATTAGCTCAGTCCAGGGTTCAGACTTCTTCATCTTTTCAAAGTGAGCTTCAGCGGCTGACCATCCACTGGAACTGCCCTCCAAGGTTTCTCAGGTTCCGGTGCCTTCTTGACTCTGCTGTAATTGCGTCCAGCCTCCTTCCCGAGTGCGAACTGCAGATTCAGTTGTCAACAGCACCTGGTACGGGCCTTCCCAGCTAGGCTGCAGCTTCTCGCCCTTCCAAGTCTTTGTCAGAACCCAATCTCCAGTCTCAAATGGATGTTGGCTCCCAGCAAGAGGTGGTTGTTGCACCAACAGTCTCTGTTTATACAGAAAAAGCAAAAAACAAAAACAAAAAACTGGACAGTACCTGCAAATATTTTCTCAAAAACAAATCTTTAAATTCAGGAATTGGATTCCCTATTTTCGCCAAGTAGGGTCGCCCCAGTAGCATCTCGAATGGAGAGACTCCAGTGTCTTTCCTTGGACATGTTCTGATTCTGAGCAGTGCCAAAGATAAGTTCACAAGGAAGTATTTCCAACCCTCCCCCTTCTCTGGTAATTCAGTGAAATCAATTTGTGCTCTTTGGAAAGGCCAGCCCACTAGAGGTCGCCCTCCCTCATGTACCTTTTCCAGAATTCCCCTCATTGCATTCACAGAGACCACCCTCACCCCCTCTGAGGTTCTCCACCCATCCTCAGTTAATGTACACTCTTCTCTTTCCAAATCATCTTTCTCTTTTCCTTCAGGTTTCCAATCCTCATCTTCTTCCATTTCTAGCAAGGGAATTGATACCATCACCAGCTCTATCTCCCCTGCAGCTTCTTTTGCCCACTTGTCTGCCTACCTGTTCCCAACTACCTCTGGGGTGCTTCACACCCCAGGCGTATTTGGAATCAGTCCAGATTGTCACATCAATTCCTTCAGCTAACTCCAGAGCCCTCTTCAAAGCAAACAACTCGCGTTTCCTCTTTTCTTCCTCAACCCTGCTTGATCCATCCACAAACCACCTTTCCCCTTCCTTCAAAGGAGTCTCTTCCAGATCCCCCCTTACCTTTGTCATCAAATCTACTTGCAATAAACAATCATGGTCCTCAGATTCCCACTCCTGTCTTCTTCCTTCTAGGAATTCTGCTGGATTCAAATTCCTATCTGTCCCAATCACCACGTCTAGGCTGGTTCTCAAAATGGTTTTCATATTTGAGAATCTGCCCTTCTGTCATCCAAGTTGTTGCCAACTGACTTAGCACAGAAGTAACCTGGTGGGGTGAATGAACAACAAGCCCCTCCCAAAGGTTAACTTCCTGCTCTCTACCACCAACATAGCTGTAGCAGCCACAGCTTGCACACACACTGGCCATCCTCTCACCATCGGCTCCAGAGTTTTGCTCAGAAAAGCGATGGGCTGGTATTGCCCCCCCTCTTCTGTGCCAATACTCCTAGTGCCGTTCCCTGTGCTGCTGACACATACAGATGAAATGGGAGCTTCAAATTGGGCAAAGCCAAAACCGGTGCGGATGACAATGCCTTCTTCAAAACCTCCCTTCTCTCATCATCTCCCTTTAACCATTCTATACTCTCTCCTTTTCCTACCAGCTTCCTGTGCAAGAATTGAGCTAACACAGTGTATTGATCCACCCAAGCTCTGCAATACCCCAACAATCCAAGCGCTTTCCTGACTTCTGTCTTATTTCTGGGGGGAGCCAGGCTCATGATCCCTTTCACCCTTTCAGGATCCAAGAACCTCACCCCCTGCTGAATATAATGCCCTAAATATTTCACCTTCTTTTCCACAAACTGGATCTTTTCCCTTGAAACTGTCAATCCTTGCTCCTTCAGCCAATTTAGCAAAGCCACGGATGCCGCTCTAACCTCCCCCTCTTTCTCTCCAGTCAGCAACAAATCATCCACATATTGAATCAACATGATTCCCTTCCCTTTCTCAAAAGACACTAACTTTTCCTCCAAAGCCTGTCCAAACAAAACTGCTGTTTTCTTCCACTCTCAGGATCATCCCATTCAAATGCAAACAGGTCTCTACTTCCCTCCTCAAGGGGGCATGCCCAGAAGGCATCCTTCAGATCTATCACAGTAAACCATTTGTCTTTGGGAGGGATTCATCGCAAGATCACTGGGCTTCTCCCCTCCTGCCCAGACCTCATCTGAAATTGCTCTCTCATCTTCCACAGTCATCTTCCACATCCTTCCTTCCTTCCCGGTTGGTAGGACACTCGCGCGCAAAGTGACCTTCCTTCCCACACCTGAAGCAACTCCTATCCATTCCAGGCTGCTTCATTCCCATACCTCTTCCTCTGCCCTGAAAACTTCCCTGATTGTATCCCCCAAAATTCTCACTCCTTTCTCCAATTGAACCTTTCCCAAAATTCTCACTTTTCTTCATCTCATTTTTCATTGCAGCCTGCATAGCTGCAAGCATCATTTGTGACTTCTGTCTGGTTTTTACAATGTCTGTTCACAAAAACTTGTTGGGCTGCTTTCAGGAGATCAACAATTCCCACAGCTCCCCAATTATCCATTTTCTGAATTTTCTTTTGAATATCTGGCCAAGCCCCAGTCACAAACTGCATTTTCTCCACATGGATTCAAAAGCAGGTGTGGTTGGATCCACACCAGAATATTTAACTAGGCTGTCCCAAAGCCTATTACAATAGTCCCCAGGATATACATCAACTCCCGATAAGCATCGCAACTCAGCTGGTTTTATGGGGACAGTCACAAAGACTGCCACCGGGTTGCCTGCAGCATTGATCCCATTAGGGACTTCCCTAAGAGGAAATGCATCCACTTCAGGTTTTTCTCTGAATGGAAAATCCTGAACACTTCTCTTTAATTCTTCTACTTCTTTTCTCAGCTGCGGGTAAAGGGGCGGCTGAGGAGGGGGTTGTGCCACCGGCAATGGCGGTGGTGCCATAGGAACATTGGCGGGTGCGTTATTCAAATTAGGATTTGCGGGCGGCGGATTCTGCAGCCAATCATCCGTCTCACTCTCATTGTCTTTTTGTTGTGACATGTATTGACCCTCAATTGGAGGGACGGGACCTTCAAATTTCACATGAAACCATACATCTATGTATGCAATTTGAGTAGTCATTTTGTGTTGGAGAATATAGTCCCGCAATTTGGTCATCCAATAGCTACTGGTTTCCCCCTCAGGACTCCAGTGATATGGGAATTTAGGATCAATCAAAGAGTATTTTGGCCATCAATCTCGACAAAGATAAATCATGTTTTTCTTTTCGAGATGTCTGGTGAATTCCTTTAAATTCGGGGAAAACCACTGCTGGAGTAGCTGTCCCAAAGGCGAATCTACCGGAATTGATTTTCTGCCATTGTCAAATTTTCCCTGTCCCAGACAGGCTTCTTCGAGGCTCCCAGAGCCTTGCTTTGTCCCTTTCCCATCTCTATTCTTCCAGGCTCCCAGAGCCTTGACTCACCAGTCCTGTCCTCCAGCAGACGCTGGATTCTCCCAGAGAGTTTAAGGACCCCTCTTTCTTCCAGACTCCTAGTCCTAGTCCTCCAGCAGACGCTGGATTCCCCCAGGGAGTTTAAGGACCTCTCTCTTTTGGCTACAAATGAAAGGAAGCAAAGTTTACCTGATCTGATCACTCCTGGACTTTCCGCAGTCAGTCAAAGGATGTGTGGGCGTCCCCAACTCAGATCAATCTCACACACTCTCAGCCGGCATTTCTACTCAGTTCTTTTTCCAAGGATCGTCTGGATTTCCCAGTCACCTCGGGAGTCTGACCGAATTCGGGGAGAGGTGCCTCTCAATGGGAGGTTGTGGCCACTCTCTTACCTGGTCCCGGCTTTCCAGTCAACTGCCGTCGAGGATCCCGGACGAACCCCAAAATTGTGAGATTGTGGCTAAGAAAAACCACCAGGATTCAAAGTTGATCCAAGGAAAAAGGTTTTATTGTAACATTTCTGCAGAAACGGGTTCCTGCCCTGGCAGATGGGAGGAACGAAAGGCAAAGCTTAAAGGCTCTACTTTTATACCCAAAACTACCCCCTACTACTCCCCCCCCCAGTATACAAATGGCTTGATTTACAATCTATCTTTCAGGATACAAGTTACATTTTATTATCTTTCATGGTGCCTATCTCGTAACAGACACTTCTTTATCCGGTATCTAGCATTTCAAAAGCATTCCAAAATGTGTGATAGTTCCCAGCACTTCAAAAACATTCCAAGATCAGTTCTAATCAGTGCTTGATACCGCATTTCCTTACTTCAAAAGGAAAACCTCCCTTTTTCATCTTGAGTTTTGAGTCATAAAATGAATACACTTCCCACACCTGTTTGTTAAAATGCAAGGTTGTGAAATCTGCCTTCTGTTCAAAGTTCAAAGTTTTATCTTTCATCATGACCTTAAAGATTTAATCTTTGCTTTAATCAGCAGCAAAGAGAGACAGAGAGAGATGTCCCTGCTATCAACATGGATATTCTCAGCTGGCTGATTGTTCTTTCCATCCTATTTCTCTGTTTCTGGAAGAGCCAACGTCCCAAAGGTTTCCCCCCTGGACCATGGAGCCTCCCCCTGACTGGGGTCCTGTTTCATCTCAGTAAGAAGGAGCCTCTCAAGGCGTTAGATCAGGTACAGATCCTTATTCGATCACACATTAATCTCCATGGAGTGAATCAGCCAAAAATGAAGAATATTTCCTTGCAATTATGTAAATGTCCTGCTATAAAATGGGGGATCAAAGTAAGATTTAGGCAAACAAACTTTCAGAATTTTATCTAGATATTAAAGGATCTGCTCTGTAGTTATGTATGTTTGATTCAAGGGAGTCCTGATAGTTAATGAAATTGGGCTGCTCTGGAAAGAATCATTAGCTTTTTTAGATGAAATAAATCCTAGATTTATTTCAAATTTATTTCAAAGCTGCTAAGGGGTGCGGTGGCTCAGTGGCTAAGACACTGAGCTTGTCAATCAGAAAGGTCGGCAGTTTGGCAGTTCGAACGGAGCGAGCTCCTTTGACTTGTCCCAGTTTCTGCCAACCTAGCAATTCGAAAGCATGTAAAAATGCAAGTAGAAAAATAGGGATCAATCATTTTGGTGGGAAGGTAACAGCGTTCCGTGTGCTTTCGGCATTTAGTCATGCCAGCCACATGACCACGGAGACGTCTTCGGACAGTGCTGGCTCTTCGGCTCTGGAATGGAGATGAGCACCACCACCGCAGAATCGGAAATGACTAGCACTTATGTGCAAGGGGCACCTTTACTTTTACCTAAATCCTAGAACTATGTCTGACCTACCTGGGCTTTGAAATAAATTTGGTACTTTGGAGAACGTAAGTAGTGACCATTTAAGAAGAAAACAAAGTGTTTCAGTAATCAAAGGATGGTGGTTATTTGAAGTGAAGGTATTGGTAAAGCTTTTTTTTTTAAAAAAAAAAAAACAACCTAAATACTCTGTTGAGTTTTCTGCCTATTCTTTTTTTAAAATTTTTTTTATTGGTTTTTAAAAACAAACATAAACAAACATAAAAACATAAAAACATAAAAACATCAAGCTATCTTCCACAGGTGTACATACAGTGTGCCGGTTGGTTTACAAATTGTTTTGTGCTTCCATTTCGTAGTCTTCAATTACAATTACATTACATATAATCTCATATTGTCAATCAAAAATTAAATACCTTAGTATCATTATTAATCAATCATTTGACTATACTTTTATTCATTCATGTTTTACAAGATAACCATAATTTACTTAGTTTATTTTATAACAGTTCATATTATCATCCCAAATCTATCCTAAAATCATTTTGTAGATATAATAAGAAAGAAGTACATCTTTATATATTTATTATTTTCTAAAAGTCTACATATTTCATTACTGTACTTTATTGTCTAACCATTGATAGAAAAGATCCCAAATTTTATAAAATTGTTTATCGTCTTGTTCTCTAATTTCAAATGTCAATCTACTCATTTCAGCACGTTCCAATATTTTCTTAATGATTTCCTCCTGTGATGGTATTTTCTCATTTTTCCAGTTTTTAGCAAATATAATCCTAGCCTCTGTTAATACATTTACAATCAGGTATTTCAAGTCTTTACTATATATTTCAGGTAAAATTCCCAATAAAAATATCTCTGGTTTCAAGTCTATATGTTTTTTTGTCATTTTTTGCCAACCACATGCGGATTTTAGTCCAATATTTTTTAGCATCCGCACAAGTCCACCACATATGGTAATATGAGCCAGGTGTCTGATGACATTTCCAACATTTTTCGGATTTATTCTTGAACATTCTTGCTATTCTTGTCAGGGGAAAATGCTACCTGTAAAACATCTTATACAAATTTTCTTTATATGCTGTTGACATTGTCATTTTATAATTTTGAGACCACAATTTTTGCCATTTCTCTAAATCAATCCCATATCCAAAATTCTTCCCCCAAGCAATCATAGTTTCTTTAACTTGTTCTTCTTCTAGTTTAATTTCTAATAAATATCAATACAATTTTTTAATCACCTTTTCATCAGTACCTGTCAAAATCTTATCTAAGTCAGTCAGTTTATCATAGAAACTTTCTGTTTTAGAATCTTTATCATACCTTGAATGTATTTGCGCATATGAGAATCAATTCATCTTTATACCTTGTTCCTCTAGTTTTTGCATAGATTTAAGTTCACCCTTTTCATTCAATATTTCACCATATCTAACTGTTTGTTCCTTTTTGTATATTATAGGATACGAAAATGCTTCAATAGTTGATAACCAGACTGGAATTTTCAAATAACATTGTCTTTTAATCTTCTCCCAGTTTAACCACAGAGACTCCCGTATATAATGTCTTCTAAAATACCCCTGTGTTTTAGTTCCTTTGTACCATAAAAAAGCATGCCACCCCAACAACAAACCATGTCCTTCTAATGTCAACAATCTAGTATTTCTTAGTGTTATCCATTCCTTAACCCACATCCAATTTGTAGCTTGGTAGTACAACTCCCAATTAGGCAAACCAAATCCTCCTCTAATTCTAGCATCTTGCAAAAGTTTTAACTTTATTCTCGCTTTCTTACCTTGCCATATATATTTCAAGACAATTTTATTTAAATCTTCAAAGTAGTCTTTTCCAAGCCTAATTGGAATTGTTTGAAACAAATATAAAATTCTGGGTAATATATTCATCTTGATTGTTGAAATTCTCCCTATTAGTGACAGTGGTAAGTTTTCCAATTTCGCCAAATCTAGCACTATCTGCTGTTTAAGTTTAATATAATTATTCTCTTTTAATGTACTACATCTTGCTGTCAAATATATCCCCAAGTACTTGATCTTATTCGTGACCTGAATTTTCAATAGATCTGCCAGTTCTTCCTTTTGTCTTAATAGCATATTCTTTGTCAAAATCTTTGTCTTATCTTTATTTTCAAACCAGCCACCTTTCCATATGTCTCTATCTTTTCTATCAATTTTGATGCTGTTTCTAAAGGGTCTTCTAAGATGAAAACCAGATCATCCACAAATGTTTGCAGCTTAAATTCTTCCTTTTTGATTTTCATTCCTTTTATATTCTTTTCATCTCTAATATTTCTGTTTAACACTTCCAAAGTTAACACAAACAACAAAGGTGATAATGGGCCTTGTCTTGTTCCTTTTCTTATATTAATAGAGTCTGTCAGTTCTCCCTCTATCATTACCTTTGCCGTTTGCTTATAGTATATAGCTTCTATTGCTTGAATAAATTTTCTAGCAAAACCCATCTGTTCCAACAGTAATAACATGAATCGCCAATTCACATTATCAAATGCCTTCTGTGCATCTAAAAATATCAGAGCCATTTGTTTTTCAGGATGTGCCTCGTAGCATTCCAAAGTATCCAAGATTACTCTCATATTGTCTTTAATTTGTCTCTTTGGCAGAAATCCATTTTGATCAGGATGGATAAAATTATTTAAATATTTTTTAAGTCTTTCTGCCAATATTGAAGCAAAGATTTTATAATCTGCATTTAGTAGAGAAATGAGTCTATAGTTTTTAAATTGTAATGGGTCGGCCTCCTCTTTTGGAATAAGTGTAATATAGGCTTCTGACCATGATTTAGGTATCTTCTTCTTTAACATAACTTCATTCATAACTTCTAGCAATGGAAGATTCAACGATTCTTGTAATGTTTTATAAAATTCTGCCGGAAGTCCATCTGGACCTGGTGCCTTTCCATTATTTTGCTTCTTGAGTGCTTCAGTTAACTCCATCATCGTTATATTGCTTTCTAACATTTTTTCAGTCTCTTTAGGTATCTGAGGTAAATTAGCATTCTGTAAGTACTGCTTAACTCTTTCCTCATCAATATTCTCTTGCACATATAATTTCCCATAGAAGTCTCGAATGATTTCCTTCTTCTCTTTGCTACCATGGCAAACTTGGCCTTGGTCATCTATTAATTGCAACATTTTCCTTGATTCTTTCTCCTTTCTCAATTTGTATGCTAACCATCTACCTGGTTTGTTTGCGTCTTCAAAGTAGTTCTGTTTAGTACCTCTAATTTTCTGTGCTAATTCTTCTTTTTCTATTTGACCCATTTTTTAATTATATCCATTTTTAGCTTGATGTCCTTTTTCTGTGGCATTTTCTATAGCTCTTTTTCAAGTCTTTTATGCTCATCCTCTAGGGCCTTAGAGGCTAGCCTTTTCATAGTATTCCTTTTCCTTGTATAGTCTATTATCAAGCCTCTAACACATGCCTTCATTGTATCCCATACATTCTGAATTGATGTATCTTCTTTTTTGTTTTCTCTAAAGAAAAAAGCCAATTCTTTCTCCATCCACTGTGTGAAGTCTTTTTCCTTTAAAATAGTATTATTTAAAGTCCATCTAGATCTTCTTTTTTGTCCTTTCCATTTAATTGTCATTGGATTGTGATCTGCCCAAGTATTTGTTTCAATATTTATTTCTTGAATGTTAGATATTAATTCTGTTGACATCATATCTATTCTGGACCATGATAAGTGTCTATTTGAATAGAAGGTGTATTGTTTAGCTTTAGCATTTCTTTCTCTCCATGTATCTTTTAAATTTATTTCATCTACCATTTTAAAAAAAGATTTAGGGAGAGTCTTTCTGTTTTCCTTTATTGTTTTCTGTGCTGTATAGTCCAATTTATTGTCTACAATTCCATTAAAATCTCCCATCATAACTATATTAGCATAGTCCAATTCAATTATTTTCATATGTAATTTTTTGTAGAATTCTTCTTGTTTGTCATTTGGAGCATAAATTGCAATCAGGAGTGTTTTCATATTATTGTCCATTATTTCCACCATTGGTATTCTTCCATCATCATCGGTATAGATCAATTTTGCTGGGGTGGTCTCTTTAATATATAAAACCACTCGTCTTTTCTTACATTGGGTCAAGGAAGGAAATATTTTCCCTAATTTTGGCTGTACCAACAATTGTTCATATTGTTTTTTAATATGTACTTCTTGTAGACAAATTATATCAAATTTTAATTTCTCTAATTTATGAAAGGTTTTCCTTCTTTTAACGGCTGAGTTAAGTCCATTTATATTAATTGTAATCAATTTTTTCTCTTCCATGGTTATATTTTATAGTTAAGTTTAGCAGCTCTTGTAGA